CCGTCAGCCTTTGATGTTTAAGTGAAAACAAACCAAGTTTGTCCGATCTTCCTTCATAGTTAATACCCTTCAGTCCAGGCCTGGTAAACCTTTTCTGTATCTCTCCAAAGCCTTCATATTCTTCTTATTACCACTCACACCCAGGATCACTGAAACTGGAGAAGAAGCATCCAGGTAGGTGCCAACCAGATGGATGCCAAGCTCAAACAGTGGAAGAGGTGAGTGAAAACCACAGCGTCTCACCCACTGGATTCTTCAAACATCACATACCCCCGTCCAGTCTGTGATCCCAGTTGATGATATTATTGGACAAGTCAGATCTCAGACTGAGAGCACGGCTTGAAGGACCATGTTTCAGTTTTAACAAGGCACACTGAAACAGAATCACACGATGTTGCCGAATTTGCTTTAAAAATCAAGCAGAAGTTTATTCACCAAAAGAAAAGATAAAATAGAATAAATTAGATTATTTATAACACAAATTCAAACATTTTTAAATGCATTGTAGAAGCTATAATTTCATCGATCCCAAGCACTCCTTTACAAGTTCAAAATAAAATCCCTTGTACAGAACACAAAAGCGATCCTTACACGGTACTCACACTTAGAGTCATAGGAATGTACAGGACAGACACAGATCCTTTGGTCCAACTCATCCATGCTGACTAGATATCCTAAATTAATCTAGTCCATTTGCCAGCGTTTGACCCATATCCCTCTAAACCTCTCTTATTCATGTACCCATCCAGATGTCTTTTAAATGTGTATTTGTACCAGCCTCCACTTCCTCTGACAGCTCACTCCATGTACACACCACCCTCTGTGTGAAAATGTTGCCCCTTAGGTCCCTTATATATCTTTTCCCTCCCTTTAAACCTATGCTTTCCAGTTTTGTAGCAAACCTGAGAGAAATGTTGGCCAGGGAATATGGTGGTGCGTTGAAGCAGACAGTATTTTTCCATCTGCAAAACTGACCCTGAGCTTGCTGTTGCATGCAACTTCAACACACCGTGTTCCCTGGCCAGCATCTCTGTTTCAAGCTTGCTGCAGTGCCCCAACGAACCTCAGCGCAAGCTGGAATAACAGCACCTCATCTTCCATGAGGGGACCCTGCAGCCTTCAGGACTTGAAATCAAGTTCAATAATTTTAGGGCCTGAGCACCTTCTCCCATGTTCTTACCCCAACCCTCACACACCAGGCCTTGTCATCACACAGCCTGCTACCACAAACAACCCATTATCAGCTACTGATTCTCCCAGGCTAACCATTTAGCCATTCTTTGCCCAACTGTTGTTCTCTCTCTCTGGGTTCCATTTCCACCTACCATTTACTCCTCCACCCACACCAACTTCAGCATATATACTTTTTCCTAGCTACAATCAATTCTGAAGAAGGGTTACTTGACCTGAAATGCTAAATCTGCTTTCTCTCCAGAAATGCAGCAATTTCTAGTTGTGTTCCTGATTTCCAGCATCCATAGTTCTTTGGCTTTTTGGAAGAAAATCATCTTTGATCCTGACGGACTGTCTAAGAAGATCGTCAACCAACATCGCTGGTGATCACCTCATTGCTGCTTGAGAGTATTTGCAATGAATTAATTCATAGTTGCATTCCTCCATTGGCTACATATCTAGAAGAGGCTTTCACCACTGACTTGGAACTGTCTTCTGAAGATGGGTCATTGTATGCTGTCTGCTTTTCCTCCACAGATAGTACCAGTCCTGCTGAGTTTCTCCAATAATTTCTGTTTTTGTTGAAGATTTGCAGCATTCGCAGTTCTTTGTTTTTTGACTTGGTGCACATTCCTTCATTGTCACAGGTCAAAATTCTGGAACTCTCTCCCCGGTAACACTGTAGGGTTTCCAACATAACACAGACTGCAAGTCAAGGTGGCACCTCACCACTACTTGTGGGCAAGAGTTGGGCAATTAATGCCAGAGTGTCAGCAAGATGCATATGCTATCAACTAATTTTGAAACAGGCATCCCATTTGTGCCTCTTGCCCCAAAAGCTTTCAGCAGCACCAAGCAACCTCAGGTAAGTGGCACACATGGAGCTCTTAGGGAGTTTCAGCAACAGTTACGCTATATGATTTTTTTTTGTCCCTTCGTTAAATTGATCAATGCCTCATTGGTGGCCCTCTTACAGCAGCACCTGAAGATTGTGGGTTCAAACCCCACACTAGAGACTGGATGGCAAAAAAGAACATAGTGATGGTCATGACAAAAATTAGACAGCATTCCAACTTTGGAGACACCATAGTTTGGACAAGATTTCAAGTCAAAGGTCCATCTGTCTTTTCAGGGGGAGACAAAAGATTTGAAACAACCTGACCTATAATTTATCCTTAATCCAAATCCTGTTCAACTGCAGGATCTTGTTGGGCACAATTTAGGCCACGAGTTTCCTGCACTGTTAAAGGACCGACCATTCATTGGTGCTCTGGGACATCCTTAAAGGCACATCGTACGCCTTAGCTTTCCGTACTCATCAACACAAGGACTGATGTGGTTCAAGATTGCCCACTGCCATCTCCAAAAAGCACCTAGATATGGGTGATTAATGTCAGACTTGGCAGTGTCACTATAAAGCAAAAAAACCAAGTGTCAGCATTGATCAGGGAGTTCTAGTAGTAATTGATGTCGCAAATGTTCAGACTCAATATTTAAACATTTATTCATTAAAGCAGCATTGTGGAAGGATTTTATCACTCTTCCCATTCTTTTTGGCTAGCAGGGGGATTGGGGGGTGAGCCAGTTACCAATAGTACACATCCTATCCCTGCTTGCCCAACCCCTCGTACCCCTTACAATCTGTAGCCTTTTAAACCCAAGACAAGCATACAGCAAAATCAATAATTATGTAGCACCCATGCCCACACTCGGTCCTCAGGTTCGAAAGTAGGTCTGCTATTGCAAAACAGATACCAATACCCAGAAAATGACAACAACTTTGCATTCAGAGCAACACAGGCGTTAAAAGTTTTTTTTTAAGTTAAAAGTTCCATAAAAGTTTATTGTATAAAATCCATATTAAAATAAGGTATTTAAGTTTGTAAAAACCAATGCAGACAGATATAAATAAAAACAGTCAACTAAATAGAATCAATACACAGCAAAAGATAATGAATTCAACTGAGATAGGGGTACGTCACACAAAGCTGTATATATGCTTGTATACAGTATTAAATAGTGCAGGACTTGGGATTTGGCATCCTGTATGTAGCTGCATGGGACACCACATTGGGAAGGTCACAGGCTTCTTTAGATTGCTAGCATATTTGGGATGTCCAGTGAAGCTCTTTCCAAACTATCTGGGGTGAACTGTTTGGAGACAGAGGTTAACAGGGTAGGGGTGAAACCTGGGTTACTGGTCATGTGCCCGTGTTTGCGGGGGGCTGGTTAACCAGGAAGTGCCATGTGCCAAACATGACTGCTCATTCATTGTGGAAAGGAAACTCGGGAGGGGAAGAGGTGGGCTGACAAGACATGCCTGCAGCTTTCTGCTCAATCACTCTTCTTTCAACAGAAAGATTGCTTGAGCTGGATGGCTTCTTTTTGTGCCATATGTCTTATGTAACAAGGATGCCCCATCTCCCCAACAAAAACAAAAGTATTTCACTCTTTGCAGGGGTGCCTGAGGTTACGTCAATGTTGGTAGATTATCCCCAACACACAACACCCCTTATACGGCAGCTGATTATTGGCTACATCATACAAGCTCATAAAGCCTGAAGCTATCGATCCCCCTTGTCCTTGACATGTGGACACTCTTGTCTGTCAGTATGTGGGGAGAATGCAAAGCTGAGTCTCAATGCGGGTTCGTTGTACCTTAAAATGTTAACCTGAACCAAACTGTTAGGAAATAAGGGGATCAAACACTTACTTGAAAATTTAAAACAAAAATATTATAAAACTTAGCAGTCAATACAAACAACACTTCTTGTGCCTCCCACTGGAACACACAAGCACAATTCAAATCATCTGTCGTAACTTCTCCGGTAGGAGGGAAGGCAGGTTATGCACCTGGAAGTTAGAAGTTAACAGGGGAGCCAATACAGACTTTACAATATGGATGAGGACAGCTGCAGATGTTAAAATACTGCAGTCAGTAATAGATGCTTGGTGCAATCTTTTCCCTCTGCATATTCAAAGGTTTAGGTGCAATAGAATTATCGCCCTCGCCCAAACCCCCAGGTTTTCTTGGGGGAGGGTGTTGAAACCTCCCCTTGGAAATTTGTGGACTTGATGGAGCAGAACCCAAGACAACACAGAGCGTTGCTGACAGCTGCACTTAATATACCTTGTATTTAATACCACCAGCTCACCCACACCCCCAGCCGCCATGATGGGTCAGGGTTAAGTAAGTGGGAATGTTGGACAAGGCCTCTTGACCTTCCTGCAGTTCCTCATTTACTCCTAAATGCTGTTAGGCCATTTAAATACAATAGCTAAAATGTTTTGGAAATAGCAGAGGATGTGGAAATGTTGAGAAGCTTCCAGCAGGTCCTGGGGCTCCAGTGAGCCAAGTAGCACCTAATTTTAACACCAATATAAAAGTTACTGGAATGTAAACCAAACCAGGTGGGAAACAGGCCTGTTACAACACTCCACTATGGGCTGGTGGCAAAGTACAACTAGTTAGCATTCCGAAAAATAAACCAAAATTATACACAGACATGATCAGCCTCGGGATATTAACCTGCACTTCACACACAAAACAGAAGCAAGGTTGCTGAAGTAACTGTTACAGTCTTTCTGCAGCCAGAACTACTAAAAGACCAGAAATGTGTGCTGAATGTTGGACTGAAACCCTAGCTGCAATATCTTAAACAGAACACAGCTCAAGATTAAATTTAGCTGTAAAAACCAACAGAAGAGTGAAAATTCAGCATCTTGATGTATTTATCAAAAGTTATACAGAATACAGATATAAAGCTGCAGAAAAATATTCTTTCCGAGAAAGGTCACTACTTTTTGTGATAATGCATTTTTTTTTAAAAAAATAGATTAAAATGCAGCATTCTAACCAAAATAAATTGCTTTTAGAATGAGAAATCATTGTCACAGGAATTAATGGGTCAGATATGTCAGCAAGGATCAACACAAATGGGGAAAACAATCAAGGAATGCTTTGCAAATCAGAATGGAGGTGGTCTAGTCTCTCCAGGATGACACCTGTGGATGTCACATCACAGCACAGCACCGTGGCAAAGGTTGATCTGTAAAATAGGAGACAGCAAGACAGAATAATAAAGGAGTAAAAGGGCCAGAAAGGAAAGTGGGGGACTGAAAGGAGAGACACAGCGATAGACAGACAGAGACAGAGAAGGGGAGGAAGTCACTGAAATCAGTGAGAATGAAAGAGATGTATCAAGACCTCTTTTCATGGATAGCTAACAAGGTGATCGTTACTTGACACAGATGCGAAGTCCGATTATCGCAAAATAAAACAGGAAAACAGATTATAAAACAACCCAAAATAGGAGAACAGTAAGTTTGAAGGCAGGAAAGCAGGGGAAAACATCTGCAAAGTCTGCGAAGAATTGGAGGTTAATCTAAACACAATTCGTAGCACTCACAGTCCGTTAATACATTAACCTGACCAGACAATATGCTGCAACATAGAATAATTACTGGGGAGTGATGTGATTGGAAAGTTAATTGCTGGAGTAAGTGATGAAGCAAAAAACTCATTCCTTTGTATCTCAATGACCTACGATTCCATTCTGACATGCTGAAGAGACATACCACCATTTATATTTGGGGCATGAGGTATAACACAGGTTACTTGCAGGATAAAGATCCCTATAGACATCCATATCAATGTGCTTCAGATTGTAAAAGGCAATGCTGTCCTATTGCCTTTTATATGGCACTGTTACCAACTGACGCCAAAGGACATCATGAGCATAAGTGCTCAGTGCACGCCAGCACTGAAAATCACGTCAACCCCTCAGCATTACCGTAAAATTAGGCACAAGGAGAATCTTGATCACAAGATCCTATTGTCTTGCCAACCAGTTCCATCCCACCTCCATCTTGGACAAATGGGCTACACTGACCAGAGCAGAGCATTGGGATTGATTGGTCACTGGAATGATTTCCCGGTGTCAGAGATTAATTTTGCCTCTACTCATCTCCAGACCGCTGTTTTCGCTCCTTTACTGCCTGGTTGGCTGCTCGGCGCGGGTTTCTTCCCTAGTTTGCCTGGATTGGAGCTCTTTTCCGTCGCTGTCTTGTTTGCCGAGAACCGTCTTTGGCTGTTCTGCGTGGCTGAGCCCTGGAAAGGAAAAACTTGGCTAGAGATTAACAAACAGATACTAATCCCCTGGAAGGCAGAAACAGTGGCAGCATGATAATATCTCTGGGCTAGTAATCCAGAGGCACACTGACCATTAACCTATTACTAAAATGCCATAAAAACCCAACTGCTTCATTAATGTCCTTTAGGGAAGGAAATCTGCCATCCTTAGACGATCTGGCCTACATGTGACTCCAGGCCAACACCAATGCAGGTGACTCTTCACTGTCCCCTGAAATGACCAAGCAAGCCATTCAAAGTCAATTAAGAAATAATGTCCTTGCAAATGATGCCCACGAACCACGAAAAACTATTTCTAAATCTGGGAAGACACTGATGTAATGATAACGTCACTGGGCTAGTAGTCCAGAATCCCAGGTTAATGCTCTGTGGACATCGGTTCAAATCCCACCACAGCAGATAGTGAAATTTGAATTCAATAAAAAAAATCTGGAATTAAAAAATACTTGTCCACCTGTTACTGCATAACCATTGTCAATTTATTTTGACGAAAACTTGTCCCAGTGACAGGTGACCCTGAAGCTATGATCAATTGCTGTAGAAATCCATCTAGTTCACTAATGCCCTTTAGCAAATGAAATCTCCCATCCTTTCCCGGTCTGGCCTACATGAGACTCTAGAACCACAGCTACAGTATGTGGTTGATTTTTAACTGCCTTCAGAGTAACTACGGATGGGCAATAAATGCTGGCCTAGCTGTTAACGCCCCTCTCCTATGACGGAATAAACAAACAAACCACTGCATAAAATGGTATGCACCTCAAAAATAAAACAACTTAGAGTCATATAGCATGGAAACAGACCCTTTGGTCCAACTGGTCCATGGTGACTATTCAGTTTTTTTTAAAATCCATTCAGGGCACGAGGGCGTAGTTGGCTAGGCCAGCATTTATTGACATTAGTGAACCAGATGGGTTTTTCCTGACAATCAGCAATGGATTCATGGTCATCATTAGACTCTTAATTCCAGATATTTATTGAATTCAAATTCCACCATCTGCCATGACGGGATTCGAACTCAGGTCCCCAGAATGTTATCTGGCTCTCTGGATTAACAGTCCAGCAATAATACCAGTAGGCCATTGCTTCAAGGTGGTGAAGAATGATGTTTCCTCTCCTCTGGGACCTGGGATGTGAATCTAGCCCAGAAACTATAGCATTGAACTTCCCTCCATTGGAAGGTGAAATGGTTGGGGTTTCAACCTAATTTCTGGTGCCGGCAAATTCACAACAATAAGCTTTTAAAATACAGTGTCAATATGTTACAGCTCACTCAGGGAGTCTGAGATGCTGTGGCAACACATGTTTTACATGCGTACTGTAGCCTGTAGCTCAGGGTCAAGGCTCTATTTTTTTTCCAACACACAGCTAACCAGAATCTCTCCCACTCTTACCACCTGCTACTGGCAATGTGTTGCAAGGATTTGCAAATTGATGCTTACCTGAATCATCAGCATATCTTTCTTGGCCATCAGGTCCCAGAATGCAGCTGAAATCTAGAGCCACTGGCTCAGAGGCAGGGACACTACCTACTGCACCACTTGACCTCAATTAATTTTAATATAGAAAATCTTGTCATGTTAGTAATGATAACAAAAATGGACTGTTACTGTCTTCATGAATTTGTGCCAAAGCTTAGTATGATTGCAGTTGGAGTACTTTTGAGCAGTTTTGACTATAGGAAGTGTGGGGACAATAGGGAGAGGTGGGGATACAGCACTAATAAGCTAAAGTATTGCTTGTTATTCGGAAGTGCAATCAAGGCTTGAAAAGCTGAAGATGCAAATTGAAGATGGTTTATCGCTTTCAAACTAGGAGGGAGTGGTGCAGAGAGGATAGGAATGGACTGTTTTCAGTGGTCTGGGTTGGCTGGAACAAGGAAACCTAACTGTAAGATTAAATGTGAAAGATTTAGGAGTGAAAGTAGGAAGTAGGAAGAGATGCGTCATCAAGAGTTTTGCTGAAAGGACAGACATAGAGTCATACAGCACGGAAAAAGATGCTTTGGCCCAATTCATCCATGCTGACCAGGTTTCCTAGTTTGCCAAACTAGTCCCACCTGCCTGTGTTTGGCCCTTATCCCTCTAAACCTTTCCTATTCATGTACGTGTCCAAATATTTTTTAAATGTTGTAGCTGTACCTGTATCTACCACTTCCTCTGGCAGTTCATTCCATATACAAGCCACCCCCTTTGTGAAAATGTTGCTCCTCAGATCCTTTTTAAATCTTTCCCCTCTCACTTTAAACCTATGCCCTCTGGTTTTGAACTCCCAACCCTAAGGACAAGACCATTGCTAGTCACCTTATCTATACCCCTCATGATTTTATAAACCTCTAATAAGGTCACCCCTCAACCTCTTACGCTCCAGTGAAAAAGTCCCTGCCTTCCAACCTCTCCTTATAACTCAAATCCTCTAGTCCCGTCAACATCCTGGTAAATCTTTTCTGAACCCTCTCCCATTTAATAACATCCTTCCTATCACAGTGTTATTGAAGCTTTTCATGTTGTGCTTATTAGGATAAATGCAGGAATGACAAATTTCTAGCAATCAGAAGCTGTACAACAGGAGTAAAAGGTGCTGATTGATTGGCAAGTCAACTCTGGTTAGCCGAGGTATTGCCATGGAAGATGGAAGCTTCTGGGTAATTCATAAAAGATGCATGTCTTAAATGAATTCCTTTTGTTGCACAGAACAGCCTCCTATATATGGATGTATGCCACTTCTAGCTAGCACAAATGAATCATATTACAAGCACGACTGATTATCTTAGCGTGGTTGTTCGTGTAGTTATTGTCACATGCAGAATTGTTCATCAAGAGCTGCCCAATTGTGGAATAGCATCAAATGGTTGACGTTTTGTTTTTGATTTTGCAAGGGTAAGCTTGGTTTGTCTGTTACAAACAACCGAGGAGTATGCATTTTGACTATTAGCCAGTCAGTGGGATGGTTCTGGGCATTACATCCACAACGAAATTCACCCACAACAGAGTGCTTTTTCGAGATGGCAGCGGCATCCCGTGAATGGAAAATATTACAGCATGAAACATCTTGCTTAAAGTCTTGCTCAAAATTTTGAGATACTTTGCCAATCCTGGCTAACCAGAGTTGGCAACTGACGCAGATATGATGCCAAGATGCAAGAATAAACAACAAACAGTTTAAAAACAGTTCAAGGATCACTTGTTCATTTCAAAGCTGAGATAGATAAGCTTATGTTATGCAACAATATTAAGGGATTTGGGTCAAAAGCAGGTATATGGAGTTAGACCACCAGTCAGCCATGATCCCATTGAATGGTGGAACAGGCTCACGGGGCTGAATGGCCTACACATGTCTATATTCCTATGATTGATGGAATAAAGGGTTTTGGGAACAGGAAGGGCACAGGGGATTAGGTACAGCTCAAGTAGACTACAAATTTAATGATCTCATGATATAGCACCCAATCATTTGGTTTTACCCCAAATTGGTAACAGACAAATGAACTTAAATAGAGGCAGACCCCAGCTCGCGAATGGGTTTCATTTTGGAGTCCAAACACAAGTTAATTTGTACACACATTGGAACACAATGAAGGACGGCACAAACTAGCTGTCTGTAAGTAAAGAAAATGCTTGTGTGTCAGAGACCTTTAAAAATCATACCACTGTACGGGATCACATTTATAAATCTGACCTTCGTAAATCAGGAACCCCTTATATTCAAACTATTTTGGGCATGCAGACTAAACTGGCTGAGCAGGGGCATTGTTAATCCAATCACCATCCAGTCCTGGGTTACACATGGCACATACTGCACAGGAGGAGACAATGATCTGTTGGTATTGGCATTAGACCCAGGTAATGTTCTGGGAACCCGAGTTCAAATCCTGCCGTCGCAGTTGGAGCTTGAATTCAATATAAATCTGGAATTAAGAATCTAAAGATAATCACAAAACCGTTATTGACTAGCATGAACCTATCCAGTTCATTAATGTCCTTTCAGGGACGAAACTGCTATCCTTACCCAGTGCAACCTATATGCGACACCAGAGCCACAGCCAATGTGATTGACTCATAACTGCCCTCTGAATGATTAGGGGTGGCTAGCCTGGCCAGCACCTTCCACATCCTATAACACAGGAACAGGCCATTCAGCTGCACTCTTTCGGGCTGGTGTTTCTACTCCACATGAGCTCCTTTCCCGCCACCTCTTCATCTGGCCCCAATAAGGTAACCTTCTGTTCCTTTCATCCTCATGTGATTACCTAGCTTGTCCTACAATGTATCTGTGCTGCTTGCCGTCAAGCTAGTGAGCGACCATGAAGGCCAGCTGTGCTAAGCCTTGCTCAGTCCTCTGGATCGTGAATCTCTGCCTCAGGCACTCACCTCTGTTTTGGCCACTAGGTTTAACTTCTGATCCAAGTTTCTTCGAGCAGATGCGGCCACTGTCTCTGAACCCTCTGGCCTGTGAAGCAAAAGCAGGACAGACGGTTAGGTGGCACAGCTAATTGGCACAGTGGTCGTGCCCGACCAGCGCAGAGTATGCGGCATTTAGAACAGCACAGCACAGGAATGGGCCTTTCAGCCCACCATGTTGTGCCAAACATATCACCAAATTAAACTAGTCCCTGCTGCCTGCCCTTAGTCCGTATCCCTCCAATTCGTTGCTTATTTATGTGCTTATCTAAAAGCCCCTTAAATTCCCCTGTTATATCTGCTTCCAGCACCACCCCTGGCAGTGCATTCCAGACATCTACCACTCTCAGTGTAAAAAAAACTTGCCCCTCACATCTCCTTTGAACTCCCCATCTTAAATATATGCCCTCTAGTATTACAATGAAAAAATGTCAGTGCGTCACAACTTTTGCAGCAATCATTAACGAGTTCCTTTTAAGAGAAAAAAATCCTCGAGAGCACAACATATTACCCACAGTCTCACCAAGGGTCCATGTAAAAATTTCAATATAACTTGGCTAAATTCTCTCTCAGTGGAGAACACACAGTTAAATGGAATGACACAGTAATCCAGATGCCCAGACTAATACTCTTGGAAGATTTCTCTGTCCAAATCTCACCGCGGTATCTTAATAAATCCAGAATATAAAGTTGCTCTCAGTGACGGTGGCAACTATCACGAAAGCTGTAATTTAAAATCAATTTTATTTTACAACCTGGAATTGAAAACATGCTTCAGAAATGGTCTGATTCACTCATGTCTTGTTAGGAAGGAAATCTGCCCAAATACCCAGTCTGGGCTACTTGTGACTCCAGACCCACAGCGAAGTGGCTGACTCTGAACTGCCCTCTGAAGTGACCAATTGGGCAGTTAGGGATGGCAACAAGCACTGATTTTGACAGTGACACCATGAAGGAATAAATTTAAACACCGTGCCCAGCTTCCCCCTTAACATATCGATGCAACTACTCCCAACATCTCAATAAGCATTAAGATTGTGAAACTCAGAATCCCTACAGCGTGGAAGCAGGCAATTCAAGTCTACACCAACCCTCCGACGTGCATCCCACCTAGGCCTACTCCCCTACTTTTTGCCTGCAACCCTGCACTTCTCGTGGCCAAGCCATCTAACCTGCACATCTTTGGCCTGTGGGAGGAAACCAGAACACCCAGAGGGGATCCATGCAGGCACAGGGAGAATGTGCAAATTCCACACAGATGGACAGTCACCTGAGGGTGGAATCAAACCCGGGTCCCCTGGCACTGTGAGCAGCAGTACTAACCACTGTGCCACCTTGCCACCGTGACACATTGAGTGGTTGAGGTGATTGGTGTCAATGCACTTTAGGGGGAAATTGGATATAAATTGGGCAGTAAGGAACAGAGAGAAATGTTTACAGCGTCGGTTGACACTGTCCTGATCTGCTGAGCCAAATGACTGTTGTTTGTAATGTGGATGCTGTGACTGAGGGAAGCAAGTACAGGAAACACATAGCAGGTCAGACAGCATCCACAGAGAGAGAAACAGAGTTACTGTTTCAGAGCTGACCATCCATTCTGAAATGAGGACATGGAGCTGAAACACAAACTTGTTTTCTCTCTGCCCAGATGCCACCTGACCTAGTGAGCATTTTGGAGCCCTCTGATATGACCAGAGGTGGAGAGCCCATTATCACAGATATTTCCACAATGCACAAACTGCAGAAAGACAGAGAGAAAAAGAGAGACAGACAGACAGACAGAGACACACACACAGACAAACAGAGAGACAGACGCACACGCACATACACACACAGTCACAGAGAGAGAGACAGACACACAAGGAGACAAAGAGAGAGAGAGGGATAGAGAGACAGACAGGCAGATACACATACACACACACACAGACAGATACACACACACAGACAGATACACACACACA